CTCAAGTATGAGTTGAAAAGTTGATTCTTTGCCAGATCAAATCTCTCTACCTAGTTGATTTTATCAGCTTACCCTACTTTCAACTGTATTTTTATCTCCCCTTCTGTAAAACTTGACCTAATTCTCAATAAAAGGTATCCTGGACTAATGTGTAATATTATAAATGGAGAGAAAAAATGGAAAGTGTCACAGATTTTATGTTACTTCGGTCATGGAAGCAGCAGTCAAGAACTCAGATGACAGGACTTCCAGTAAAAGACAGTAATAGAGACTGACGTGCTACTCATTCTTTGTACCACACAGAAGTCATAACATAGATGTGGAAGAGACACTTGGAGTCTTAGATCTCTGAGAAAAGGGGAGCTGAGTGGGTTGAACATACCTATGGGGAAAGCAGGGAGTAGAGTCCACGGGCAATCACTGGCAAATTCTCCGCTGGCCAGCTGCAACAAACCGAACTTCTTCACCTGTGGTGCTGGGCAAGTCTGGTGCTCAACAACCAGAGAAAACAACAGTAAATTATCTCCAGGCCAAGTACAAGTAGAACCACTGCTCCTACAATGACGAGCCCATCAGGTGGGCACCTCTTGGTTCCCTATACCACCCAGGTGAAGAGAACAGTAACACAGCCACACCTGGTGTACCCAGACTGGCTGTGTTCCTCCTTTTGCACACACAAGGCAGGAGTATAGTCTAGCAAGGGAATGTCACAAGGATGGGAGGCACAGAAAGCTAACAAAAAGGGACGAATTATATTGAGCTCCCCAAGCTCCCCAGTGCTCAAACAAACAGAGGCTGGGACCACCCATATGGCTCCAGCACTGGGCTCGAGCAGAAGCCTAGATCTCTGGAACTATCCTCAGTCAAGAAGTAGCCATGTGGCTGGGTTTTTTTTGTTGTTGTTGCTTTATTTTCCCATTTCCTTTGTACTGATAAACCATCACCACAACAGGAGAGGATCCAGCCACTTTTGTTTTGTTTTGTTTCTCTCTTTTTTCTCCTTTGTTGGTTTTTTCCCCCCAACAGTTGTCTGGGCACATAATTTACATATCATATAATTGAATCGTTCCATTGTTTGATCGTAGGGGAATTGTACAATCGGTATCACATCTATCTCAGAGCATTACCCCTTTTGATGTTTTCATAAACGACCAGTGGAGAGACACAGGACACAAGAGGTGGGGAATAATCTTCAACTACTTACAACCCATGCTGCCCCACAAAATTTCCAGATTCCACCCACACGCACTGATAGCTACATGTCAATTGTGTGTAATCTGGGTGGAATCTAGGTAAACACACACTGTGACTCAGTAGCAGAAGCAGCTGCTGTTTCCAGTTTGTACGTTTTGAGAATGGGTACTGGTATGTATGTGTGGGGTTCCCATTTGTGTAGATGTGTGCAATGTTTTGTTGGTTGTTAGTGTTGATGGTGGTATTTGGTTTTGTTTTTCTTTTTTCTTTCTGAAACCACTTAGAGGAGTCAGTTGCCCCCACAGCACCTAGCACCTACACACCTCCAATAGTTAGATAACAATGTCTCAGAGAAAACAGACAATCTAAGTTTACATAATGAAGCAAGGGAGCACAAACAAGAGACCAATATAAAGAGCCAAAAGACTTTCATGAAAAGGAAAGGTATGGGAACTACCAGGAAAAGGAATTTAGAAGAATACTTCTCAAGTATTTTCAACAGATGGACAAAAAGATCAAGAAAGCAATGTAAAAAATAAATGACATATCCGGCTGGACAGGAGGAGGTGCACTGGCACAGATAGGAACTGGAAATACAGTGAACCCAGGACCAGTGGAGAG